ATAGTCAACATATTGTCCAAGCCATAGATAATGAGTTAGGAAGCTTTGATGATGATGATGACGAAGGGAAGCTAATAAGAAATGCTTATTTCAGAAAACACGTTCCAGATTGTAGCACAGATACCAAGTGGATACTGTTGCTTATATATACATGTGAGCTTGCACACTCATACACACACTCATACACATACATATACATGAACAAACTCACTCACTCACACACACACACACACACACACACACACACACACACACACACACACACACAGAGACACACACATATTAACGACAGACTATTTCTAAGCACATAAGCCTGGATAAACTGCCAGGACCCAAGGTTGACAATGTACACAGTCTAGGACTTAACTTCTCTGAGTTTTAATTGTAAAAACAAGAAAATAATTGTAATTTTAGCTACCTTGTGGTCTTATGAGTCATTGGAAGACTTTTATATGATGTTCTAAAGGTGCTCTAACACTTCCTTTGTCCTTAATATCAATCTATATGTGCATGTATGCATGTATCTATTTATCTATCTTTCTTTTTATCATCTACCTATCTATATGTAAGCATAAAATAAAAAAATTCTTATCATGTATTTCCAGGTATGTTACTTATTCTTCTTTTAAACTGTTAATTGTTGTTTTATGTATAATCAAACCTTTTTTAATGAAGGATATGTTAAGATTATAAAATGACAAAACTGGTAAACACAATACTTTATAAAGTCAACATGGCAGTGTGTGCCAAACACACAGAAAGGAGCATATATTCTAGAATTAGGAACAATATACAGAGGAACATAGTAAGAATTTGGAGGCCTTAGGCAGTATTGCCACTAGGTGGGTGTGCCCTTAGGGTACCCTCTTTTCAAAGGTGAGTGTGAACTCCAAATGTGATGCAATACACTCCAAGGACTCATGAAGGACTAACCTAGGTGAAGACTTTGCAGATAAAACCAGCTGTCAGAGTAAGCAGAGTGAGTAACTGTCCTGTTAAATCCAACCAATCTGTGCTAGTGGAGGGTCAGCATATTAGCCTTCCTGCTGGGCTCAGAGCTCAATCCATGACCATGACCATGAAGAAAACGGGACCATGGATCTTAAAACCATAAAGAGTCAACTCTCCCAGAAATTTCAAAGAACTTCCAAGAAAATTATAAACTTCAGAGGAAATCAGAGCCCTAGTGGACTCTTGGCTCTCCAGTCTCCTCAGAATGCGTGTAGTGTAGCTAGCTCACCCGTGCCAGATAATCAAATGGAATAGTCATGGTGAGTTGATGCTACTACAAACTGCTGGGAAGATAGGTGCCTCAGTAAAGAAGAAAGGTAAGGGGTTTGAGGTGAGGCGGCATGCACAATATCATGGGACTTGTCACCAGAATGCACACTGTTACCCCAGTGACTCATCAACCCCCCCCCACATTGCACCAGGGAAATATGTGAGAAGCACAATAAAGACAGAGAAAACAATATTCTCAGTGCCAGTGCACAGGGACTTGAGCAAGAAGCTCTCTATAAATATTAGATTAAAAAGTCAGGAGCAGCTTTTACCATTATAGACCGTAATAGAATTTGATCAGCTAAATCCCAGGGTTTTATAAAGCACAAATTATGTAAACAAGCTTAATGGCTTTTGATAAAACTACAAAGCCATTGGTATGAAGAATGCAAGAGGTGGTTTTTCTGTTTTGTTTTTGGACTTTAAACATTATACACAGATGAGCACAGATGTTTCTTATTCAAAAATTTTTAAAGGCGTTTAATATGGAGACTGGGGAGATGGTTCGGTGAGTAAAAGGCTTGTGAAAACTTGACAACCTGATTCCAGATCCCTAGAATCTATTAAAAACTAGACCCAACAGCACAATCACCCATAATCCCAGTGTACGTCTCTAGATGCTTGTGGGCCAGGCAGCCTGGTTAATGTGATGGCAAGGGCGACCCTGTCTCAAGGAGATTGATAAGCAACATGGGTTAGAGGATAAAACCCAAAGGAAAATAGACTGATGAGTTCTTTTGGAAGGGATTTGCTGAAAACATCCTCCTTCATGTCAACTCCACAGCATTTGAAGGGTCTCTGTCATTGAGGATACTCTAACTTCTAAGGGAAGGAGCTCAATTGTTGGCTTCTTCCATGTGTCTATGTAGCATCTTTTGATTACCCATTCCTTGTGGATATGCTATACTTTCAGAGTCCTAGCAGGTATTATTTGACACACTTCTGTCATAGCACCATATCCAGCGTGTACTTTACAAGTGATTAAACATTGCTCTTCAGTCCTTCATACTGAAATCATTATCTAGAATCTTGACCATCATTTCAGTCCCCACAGTTATATCCCACTTGCCCCTAAATACTGTCAGATACTTTTCCTTCGTCTTTTACTCTGATGCACACATCTGTGCATATGTGGGCCTACATGGCATACAATCCTGCCTGTTTATCTGCTGTGATCCTGCCTGTCCCCCTGCCTCTCAGTCTTTCTCTCAGGCTTACTAAGCCACTGGGCATTTCGTTCTTTGTAACAAAGCCCTTCCATGCTGTGGGGGATTGATTTGTGGGGCTCTTTTCTTTTCTCACCTTTTTAGTGCCTTATCTTCTTTTATGTCTTAAGGTTTGTGTAGCAGGAACAATTTCCCGAGACATGAAGTGATATATCTAGACTTTATAGGCTGTCTCAGCCTGCCATCCCTACCTTGGCTTTACAACATTTCCTGGATGTGGAGCAGCAGAAGTGAACCTTTGTGGTTTTTATGCTTGGTGATGGCAATCCCACCTAAATAACCATATAGAGCATGGCATTTCCAGAATGGTTGATGAGTGACAAAGAGCTAAATGGCATTTTTAGAGTCATTCAGCATGCTCAAAACCCTGTAAGTCAAGGTTTTTCAAGCACTCTTGGACCCACCAATGTTCATAGCTATCAAGTTCAAACAGTTGTATTTTTCCTACTGCTCACACTGGACTGGGATCCTTGGGTTGCATAATTATGACTCTCTATCGGGGAGATATAGGTAAGGTGGAATTTGTAGTCCTAATGAACATTGAGCTTCAATGCCCAGCAAAGCATCTTTCCCTGCACTAAGCCTGTCATAATTTTGTGTATGGGTGTTCAAAGCATCATGCTTTGGTTTGCAGTTTTTCTTCCTGAGTGTCAGTGGAAATGATTGGAAGTGAAATCTCAGTAAGACTGTCTTAAGGTTTGAACTTCATTGTGCCATAAACTTATTAGTAGAAATCAGGATCGAGATACATAAAGTTCTCACAAACCATGCTCAAGTTCTATTAAGATTAAAATGAAGTTCAAGAAGAAAGGGTCAGAGGTCACTGGCAAGTCAGCCACTGGAACAGTGAGCTAAAACTTACTGTAAGCTGATCCCTCTCTTATGCACACCAGAGTTCTTGGTATAGGAGGGAATTTAAGGGACACTAATTCCTTTTGGGTTTTCTCTACATGGCTTCCACACTGAGGTCATGTCCAGCACTTACCCTTCTCCCTTCCATTCTTCATCATGATATTGAGAAGATTTCTCCTTGCTGCACATGGTGCTATTTACAGTTTTAAGTTTTAGTGGTAGGATCGTATTTCTGCTTGAAATCTTTAGACACTTATTAGGAAATAAAAAACAAAATGGAACTCTATACATGATTCTGAAACATAGATCTAAGGATCATTGCTTTTAAATATATTTAAATTAGAATCTTTTTTAGAACAATGGGGACAAATTACTTAATTCTTGGAGCTTCAAGAAATAGGAATGCCTTACCTAATCAGTTTTCATTGACCTAGTATGCTGGAAATTTCATGGGGATTCTATTACATTATTTGTACAATAATGGTGGCTGTAGGCAGTTGTATCACTACCAAGAAGTCCACTAGCAGACAAGAATATAGCAAAGTTAGTTAAGGTGCCTATGATTATACAGCTGGTGACTAATGGAGCCAGAACATAAACCTAACAAGATGTCAACGAAGTTACATGTAACCATCAGCATCCTACTATGTAGAACATTATATTGCCATTATCCTTCAGTATCTTACATCTCAGGAGTTCACATTAAGTGCTGGTCATCTCCTAGAGTCAGTAATGTTGAATGGCTCAAAACCCTTTCTGGATTTTTGGAGTATAATATGCTGCCAATGCCTCTTAGAAATTTCTCTCCCATTCTATAAAGTTGTGCATCATATACTCTGCTTTGGGAGTTTGCAAGAATCTACAATCTCATTTCACTGGCCTGAAATGTAATATGGATTTGAAGAAAAATTGGGATTTCTTCCTAAATAAATTTCATGAAAGATTTGTGTAATCTTTGCAATTGCCAGAAAGGGATCTGAGTACACAGAGAGCACCCTTCTACGGAGAACCGCAGAAGGTCAGCAAGGGCTCATAAGCCTTCTCCAAATATAAGAAGGGGGAGACTGGGCAGTGATACATTTACCCAACCTAGGACACTAAGGGAAATGCCTTCACATGCCACTTCTATTATGTGAACTTGAACTTTGCAATTTTATTTTCTTGGTTTTTCCAGTACATGTTGATTTTCTTTCTTAAAAATATTAACTATTCATTGTTTAACTCAAAGAAAGACTATTTTTTAAATATTTATTTTATGCATGTGAGTGTTTGACTATATATGTATATGTGTATATATACAATGTGTGTGCCTGGTACCTATGGAGGTTAGAACATGGCATCAATCCCTTGGAATTGGAATTAGAGACAGTTGTAAACAGTCATTTAGGTGCTGGGAACAAAACTCAGGTCCTCTGCAAGAGCAGCAAGTACTCCTTAACTGCAGAATCATGTCTCTAGCTCCCAAAGGCAAATGCTGTGTCAGAGTTTAATGGCATATGTTTTGGCTAACAAGCCCAACAAGATTTAACTTCTTAGAAGGTATGAAGAGAAGACAACACCAGAGAAACAACAGTGCAGGGAACTATTTTTTTCTAAATACAGAAAAGCCATCTTCATGAAACATAAATGTGACATAGTTACCTGTCATGTTGCAATAAACCTTCAGAGGCCCCAGAGGTCCACTGCCATCAGGATCTATCCAGTAGTAATTTGATGTCTGGCCAAGGTGTTTGTATGCTTCACAGGAGGGCTCGTAGATGGCTGGAATGAAATATTCCATATGAGCATAGCACAAAATAAATGTCTCCCCAGCTCAAAGTCCCAGTCACATGCCCAATGTTGGCAGACTGCTGTATAGAACAGTTCTTTTCAGAATGAATACTCTTTTTCTTCAAACTTAAACACTTGACTTAGCATTTTCTTTATAAGCAGTTTGGACCCCCAAAGCTACTTATATGACTTTATTGTTAGGGAAAAGATAGACTCAATCAGTAAACTATTAAAAAACACATGTAATATGTGTTTTTATGGAGCTCCCAGCCCTTTATTTTATACCCATTTGTAGCCATCATCTTCTTACTATAAGGTACTTTATTTTTAAAGATTATAAATAGTTGAACTAACAACTAAGGTAAAGGAAGTTTCATTTTTATCACCAATATAAATTTTCTATAAATTGCATGTAATTTATAATCTTCTTGTGTCCCCGGCAAAAGGAATGCTAGTTTCCTGATTAAGTTTCTTACAGGTGCTTTAATTACATCACATTCAGTTTGTGTAGAAAGCCTGCATTTGCTTAATTGAATTATAGGTTCTTTTCTGTTGTTTCTCTTTTACTTTCCATGTCTGTGACACATTTTCCTTTTCTTGAAGAGGCTGCACCTGTTTTCATAAGTATAAAATGGACATTTACATATCTCCTTGGTTGTGTGACTCTCAGAAAAGCTATTAAGTAAAGTTTTTTTTTTCTTTCCTCCAGCAGCTTCAAAATGACATTCATGAGAGATACGAATAATTTTGGCACAGGACAAGGAAACATTCTTAGTGAAAACCTGTTTACCTGGCACATTACTATTGTGTGGGCTCAAAGATGATCTGTAGTCTGTAAGGCTAGGATTTCTTTATTTAGATAAACACCAACCCAAACGCAAACCAGAGCGTGCCTAGAGGCCGAAAGCTAGCGTGGCCAGAGAGAAGGGGCATCCACGTGTTTGTGGCCTCTTAAGAATTCTGTCCACTTCATCCTCAACCTCCCCTGACCATGTCCTCATGGGCGTGGCCAAGCACACCTGTAGGGGCTACTAGGAGGTGGGGTTACAGTACATCACCTGAACAGACTTCACAAAGTGCTCTTGCATAGTACTCCTAGGGTGTGTTATGTGTTAAATTAGGAAATAGGCATCCTCTGTTTTTTCCCCTACCAAGTTTTCCTGCCCTATTCAGTTACCTGTGGCTCCTTCTACCCAAGGATGATAGCTGTCCAGCTCTATTTTGTTTTGCCAATGTTACCACACTCAGTCAAACACCTCTACAGTTCTCTGATTGGCTCGTCACTTCTTCCCTTCCTTCTGCAAAGAGTTAATGCAAAGAATCTCTGCCATGTGCCACACCATATACCTGTCGATGAAAATCTAGCTGGACACAACCCAGTTTCAAGTCCTTTGGAGCAGGATTTGTTTGTTGATTTTATGGGTATTGCTTATGCTTCAAGTGATGTTGGAAGGGTATGCGGCCAGAAAAGTAAGCAGAACCCATTAATCTTTGCCCCAGGGTAACCATTAATAGGTCCACTTTCAATCTCTTGAGTGTCTACAAAATAAACTACATGTTTTCTCTAATTGTGGATGCCATGCTAAGTAAAATACTGTAATGAAAGGCCGGGGAAAATATGTTTTTAAAATGTTCAGCAGGAAGATGCTATAATTAGATGTAGGCTTCAAAATGAAAACTCCATGTAGTAAATGGTATGTTGTAGAGGAATATCAGGCTATTGTTGCTATTGGCTGGTTGAGCGATAACTGGCAGTTGAATTAAAGCAAAGAGGCAAATGGTAAAGTTGGCAGGACAGAGTGCAGCCATTCTAAGGTCAAGATGACATGGAGGTCAGCTGATTAGAAATGAGTAGGAATAACTGCTGTTGAATGGGTGATCTGAAATCACAATCTCTGAAAAAAAAAAAACTAGGCACTTTACTAATGACAGCATCTCTCCAAGTAAAAATATCTTTAAATCCTTATTTTTGACAATGTCACACATGTATACAATGGATATCATATCTATGCTCCATTTATTCCAACCAACTCCCTCCATGTTTTCCCCAATTTTTTTTTTTTGTAACCAGTTAAACCCAGTTGGGTTGTTCAAATATGCACTGGTGTTGGGACAGCCACTGACGCATGGAAAACATTCCAGTGGCCACATCCTCAATAAGAAATGAGCCTCTCTCTGCCCCCAAACAACCCACATCAAGAGTTCCCCAGGAAGTAGGGGGGGCAGAGACCTTCTACCCCATCTATGTGTCATTTTTTCTGTCTTGATCTTGTGAAGGTATTATGCAGGGAGCCATACCTGCTGTATAATTATGACTGTACTTCCTTCTGGCTTCCTGTTTACGGTTGAAATGGGACCCTTTAGCTTCCTTTCTCTGTCATCATGTCTTCTCCATTATTATGAACATAAAGCCTGCCAGAACCACAAAACTTCCTGAACACTCGATCAATACATCCTTTAGTTGCTTTTGGTCATGGTGTTTTATCCCAGCAGTAAATGTGACTAACAGGGAGGGCAGAGTGAGCTGGAGGTAAAGAGTGGGTCAGGAACATGACCAAGATAACATTGTATACATGCATGCAATTTTTTAAAAAATGAGAAAGTGTGTGTGTGCTTTCCTGGGTTGAATAACACAGAGGAGCCATCCGGAAGCTGATCTGGAAGCTTCCTCCATACTGTGTAGCTTTCACAGTATAGAAGTATTTACACAGGCAGTTGGCTGGAAAGCTAGCAATGGCCATTTCTGATTTTGGACCTTGCATACTATAATACCAACTTTCCAGACAAGATGTACCCACCAGTACAGTAGTGGCACAGGTGTTATGGGGATTAACAACTTCATTTTGATTGGATCCGGGGTCTTTTCTGAAAGAGGCAGTACCATATTATTGGCCAGTCAAAGGCAATGGCTAGGTAGACAGTATTCCTTAGGAGTAAATCTACTAGTTTGTTTTGCTCAGTGGGCATGATGTCAAACTGTCTAGTAACTTTGTTTGTACCCATAGACTAGTCTTGCCTCAGCTTTTATCAAAGAACATTCTTTTTGCAATGAATGGTCATTAATAGAGAAATCATGACTTGAAAAAAGTAACTTAAACAGTGTTCCTTATACAGTATTCAGATTTCAATGGAACACCTGCATCAGCCCCTTCAAGACTTGGAGAATAACAGAAAGAACAGATGAGCAGATGTAACAATGTAAGAAAATATGGATAGGGGCCCTAAAATACCGTCTTTATGGGCGTGGCCTTGACACCAATGAACTTACAGCAGTTACAGCTGCCTTCATTGAGCCTTCACAAGATAGAGCTCATAAATATCAAGTCAAGGATAGGGGAGGGACTCGTGTCAGTTAAAGGTTGTGGGGAGAGATGAACTGATTGTCTTTAGTGATGTAGGCCTGGTGGGTGACTCACATTCCAGGAGAAAGCTCCATGGCCACACCTAGGCAGACAGACTTAGTTAAACACAGTGTGTCACAGAGCAAATACACACAGAAAGCCAAAAGCCGAAAAAATATCCAACTATGATGGGGACAAGGTAGGATGGGAAAGTCTTCATAGCATTGGGAAGAAGATGATTGAATGTACAAGTGTGAGTATGTACCTCATTACACATATGAAATCAGCAAATAGCTTATTCAATTTTAAACACTATATGATATTTCATCAATTTATATCCTATTGTGTCACAGACCATCTTCTGTGAATATACAAATTGTTATAATTGCAATAGGTCTTCCTTGGCCTTAGCAACTTGCCATTGTCAACCCTGGACTTTGATCCAGTAGAATTGTTATACAACTTCCCATGGCTTATACAGTTTTCTGGAGTTGACTTTATGTGAAATATCCTCAAACCTGTTTCTCAAGCTACACAATGTCTCAAGTTGAATTCTAAGCTTCAGAAGACATAGTAAGGGATATGTATCTGAAGTTAAACAGACTTAGATAATCATATGAGCATGCATGCTTTCTTTCTCTTTCTCTCTCTCTCTCTCTCTCTCTCTCTCTCTCACACACACACACACACACAGAGAGAGAAAGAGAGAGAGAGAGAGAGAGAGAGAGAGAGAGAGAGAGAGAGAGAGATAACTATGGGAAGCATTACCTAACCCCATTTAGCCATTTCTACAGATGAAATTTAATAGATATGTTACAGTGGTTTCATAAGGGCAGGAAATAAATCCCCATCTACCATTTAACAAAGTGCTTAATGCATGGCAAGTTATTAATGGGTTTCACCACAAGCATCGTATATATTACTAACCTATGATTTGTTTCTAGCTGTCACTCAAATTCTTCCTTCTTAAGGAGAGTCTCCCTAGTGAACAGGTGTATTTTTGTATTCACCTAGAATACTAATACCTGCTTACAGTTGACTCAGGAATTGATCAGCTTCTTCCTTTAAAATGCCTTTTTATGAAAATGCCCTCTTTATTTTTATTTTTAAAACAATGTTATTTTATATTTCAATCACAGTTCCCTCTCCCTCCCACTCTCCCTACCATCTCCCCATCCCACCCCCATCCATTCCTCAGAGAGGGTGAGGCCTCCCATGGGAGATCATCAAAGTCTGTCACATCATTTGAGGCAGGACCAAAGCCTCCCCACACCTCCTGTTCCTAGGCTGAACAATCCTTGATATAGGAGGTGGGGGGAGGCCTTGGTCCTCCAAAGTGAATGAACTCCAAAAGCCCAGTTTCTGCACTAGGGATAAATACTGGTTCCATGGCCAGTGGCCCAAGTTCCCCCAACTGACACCCAGGTTCAATGGTCCTAGTTGGGTCTTATGCAGGTTCCCCAGTTGTCATTGAGCTCCCAGTTGCTCAGGTCAGCTGTTTCTGTGGGTTTCCCCAACATGGTCTTGATCCTTTTGCTCATACTCTTGCTCCTCCCTCTCTACAACTCAATTTTAGAAGTTCAGCCCAGTGCTTAGCTGTGGATCTCTGCTTCTGCTTCCATCACCTACTGGATGAAGGCTCTATGATGG